AATATTTTGGATAAAGTTTGATCGTCTTGCCTTAAAGGTATAGTGGAGGATGTTCTTTTTCCAGGTTGGATCATCAAAATGAGTTGTCCTCCTAAGCGTCAATCTTAATTTTCATTTTAAACAGAGTATGCACGAGGCGAAATGGGCTTGTGCACGCTCTCACACGCATTTAATAGGCGTTTCTTCTTGGGAGCGGGTACAGGGTTGTGCATTTGCATTTTTTTTTTACTGGAGAGGGAGAGTGTTTCCAAAAAATTGCGAAAATCATCCACTGTACCTTTAAGTGCCTTAAAATCTAAAAAAACATATATTACATTTCACTTTGCTCACAGTAATTGATTGTGATGTTCTCAGGAGTACAGAGAAATGGAAAACCAATCAGTTAAAAAAGTCAAAGGCTTTAATAAGCTATGTGTTTGTAGAGAGATTCATATCTGCTGGATTTAGAGCTCTTTTTTTTTTTTTTTGGCAGAATCATTATAGTATTGCGTTTTCAGTAGGATGCAGTATATGTTCCTTTGCCATAAGTCATTCAGAGCCGTGCCTAAATCTTTAGAGGATGGCTGATATTCTGTCCAATAAGATACTGGGCATATGCTTTAGGTCATTGAAATTCTGAAACACCCACTGATGGCTCATTCTCCATTTTCTGGTAGCGTCCTACGGATTTTGATTTTAAATACATTTTTTTCATAGCAAGTTGTTAATGGTGAGAACCAGGCCCACGGCCTCAGAGCTTCTCCCTTTACCAAACAGTGGATATGACATTTTTTCAACATATTCATCCTTAATTTATTCATCCAATTTTATTCTTCTTCCAGTTAATGTCCCCATAGAGATCAGTAATATCTATTTTTAGCCAATGAATAAATGTGCTCAAATTAAAGGTCGGGTTTCTCTTAGATAATAATTTTAACTTATTGGGAAGTGTGCCGTTATGTATAGAGATCCTTCAAATATGCAGAATTACTAAAAATCATGTTTAACTCATTTTTACAGATGAATTCCCCATCATTTCTGTTTTATTCACAGTTTTGTATTCTTTTGGCTCCTTCTCTTTTCCTGTTATCACCGCTTGCAGATGAAGTGGAGGCAGAGCTGCTTCACACCTACAGTCGCATTGACCCTTATGACACGCTAATCCTGTGTGTGCGTGTGGCTGTACTCACGGCTGTCACCCTGACAGTACCGATCGTGCTCTTTCCTGTAAGTACAATTATTTTAGCACTAAATGTTTAAACTTATGATCATCAACTAATTTTTTCATTATTAAACTTTTTTTTCCTGTTATGATCAGGTAAGGAGAGCAATCCAACAGATGATGTTCCCAAATAAAACCTTCTACTGGCCTCGCCACATTGCCATTGCCATAACATTGCTGACCTTCATCAACCTGCTGGTCATCTTTGCCCCAAACATCCTTGGCATCTTTGGGGTTATTGGTAGGTTCAATCAATGTTTAAAAGGTTCCTGTAAATTTATCATATAGGAGTTGAAATAAATGGATTGATAACAACAACACACTGAGAGAGCAGACCTCTACAAGGTCTCTACCACCCCAACTTAGAAACACGGACTCAATTCTCCATTTTAAGATGCAACTCAAAACCCATCTGTTCAAGATTGCTTATTCTCTTTAAATATCAATTTCACTGTCACAGCCTCTGTATTTTTTTAATACAATTTTTTTAATTTTATGTTTTTAAATGTTTTTATTTTTTCTGACACTGTTTTTATGCTTTTGTACGGTGACCTTGAGTGTCCAGAAAGGCGCCTTTTTAAATAAAATGTTTTATTATTACAAAGCAGCAAATTTTACTCCATATTGTGACTCACACCCATTGCTAAAACTAGCACATGATCTGGATCATTACCAAATTTCAAACCTTGACATGAGGAGCACCTTGGCTAAAAATGTCCTTAAATATCCTTAAAATCCTTTCATAAGTTTAAAAGTAAGTTATGGCATGTGTGTGCCGCCTGTGGTTTTTGTTCTGCTCTCACCTTCTTCATTCACTCAGATTTCTTCTTTGATCACCAGTCAAGACTCTAAGCGAGGCATTGCACCCTCTTCTTATGTTTTTGTATTTTTGTCTTCAGTAGCATACTTCCAGACCTTTTTTGTGTTTAAGCTGTCAATAGTCACTGCTGCCACCCTCTGGTTTAAGGCGGAACTGCTTGTTCTGCCAAATAGCCCTATATCAAAATGTTAACAAAATCCTTTCAAAATAGATTATTATCTTGATCATCACCAACATATAATGATTATTCCTTGGCATGAGTTGCACCTCTTGTAAAAAATGTTGAGATGGCATAGTTTAATTAGTTCATCAGAAGTGGATGTGAACTTAACATAAAATAAGAAGAACAAGGACTGGCATAAAAGGATAATGTTTGAAGTTTCCTCTTTCAGTCTTTATATATATCTTCATAAGATATTATGCTGCTGCAGGAGAGATACACATCCTTGTTAAAATGGCAACTTTTATGATAAAAAAAACACAAGCAGGATGTATATTTTCCAAAGACCCTCCACATTAAAGTGGCATGTATCCTGTTACTTTAACTATATAGCATAAAAAAAATCTCTTAGATTTTTCAACACAATTTATTTTTTTTTTATCAAACTTCACATTCAGCCATAAGCTGTTTTTAAAAGGGTTTGGTGTTCAGAGCCCTATATTTTTGACTCTGTATTTTTCTGTAACCAGATTTTTATTTCTGTCTTCAAGACTATAGTTTGAACGTTTATATTCGTAGATCTCATTCTTTGCTCTTACAGTGATCCGTCTTTGCAGGGTCTAATAAGGAACCAAAGGGAGTAAGCGTTAACACCGTACTGATTTATGAATAATTAAATTTTTCATTTGTTTTTCAGGTGCCACGTCAGCCCCCTGTCTCATCTTCATTTTCCCCGCTGTCTTCTATATCCGCATTGTACCCAAAGAAGAAGAGCCTCTTCGCTCATTTCCAAAAATCCTGGTGAGAAAATATCGTTTCTCCATTTTTCTCTCTAACATCCATGCTAAATCAAAATTTTGTATTCTATTGCTGTGACACACTTTTGCGCTGCAAAAATAAGGAAAAATCCAAACTTAATATCAAATGTCCAACTGTAAAAAAAAAATATATCAAAGGATTTTATTACTTTTTTTTTTTTACAAAACATGTGGTGCCAAAGCTATGTGCACCTTGCTGTTTCCATTATCAAATATTTTATTTAAAAAATACTTTATTAGGTTAATAAAAATCTTACTCTGTTAAATAAATATTTAGTTTGGAGCTAAATATTTAGTTTAGAAAATAAATATTTAGTTTGTTAAATATTTAGCTTCAAACTAAATATTTAGTTTATTAAATAAGTATTTAGCTTTAAAATAAATATTTAGTTTGTTGAATAAATATATACATATTCATTTAACAAAGTAAGATTTTTGTGAATGAATGAATGACATAGTGAAAAAATGACTTGGGGGGGGGACAACATCTCTCTCCTAAAAGATGCTAAATAACCATAAATATTGCTCCTAATTTTTGACAGCTTAACTTTACAAACTGCGCCCCATAGACATTAATTATCTTTTTATTAGTTGTTGTTGGGCTTTTTTTTTTTTTTTTTACAAGAAACAGGGTAAGTATTTCAATTTTACAAATACTGCATGTTTAGTTTATTAAGTTTGTGAAAAATTAAAGAAATAAAACAAAAATTAAAGAAAAAAATACTATTATATAAATATTTTCTGAATGCCTCAACTTTGAAGTAGTATTACATATGATTTAAAAAAAAAAAAACAACAACAACAAAAAACAAAGACCTGCAAAATCAACGTCTTCTAATAAAAGTCCAGGTTTTTGATAATATGCATCCACTAAACCCTCCCATCAGTCTGTGTCTTCTTTGACCTCTGTGTTTCTCTTTCAGGCCGCCTGTTTCGCTGGGATCGGTTTCCTTTTTATGATAATGAGTCTCAGCTTTATCATCATTGACTGGACATCAGGCAGCAGTAAAGCCAGCAGTGGTCATTAGGAAACCTACTGTATGTCTTTTATTTTACTTTTGTATTGTTGATTTTGATCTGTATTGTAATGTTTCTATATTGACGTCCAACCACCGATGTCGCCCTTCCCTTTTAAAAGACTATCAGCCACAGAAAAGACAGTTTGGGCGGAAATTGTACTGTACATCTTCCAAACTGTAGGATGGGATCCAGGCTGGTAAAAATGCTTTGAAAGCTAACAGTTAAATTTTTGAAGTGACAGATATGTTGGGATTGAACGTGACACTTGGAGGATGAGTTTTGCAAGAAGAAAGTAGAACAGCAAAGATAAAGTAAGCTCCTGTCGTTTTAGGATCTTGAATATAAAAACAACCAATATATTGCTAGTTTGATCGTCTCCTGTTTTCCAGCAAAATCAAAATGATTTACAAGTCATTTGAGAATTTCTGTCCTATTAATAATTATGCAATTATATCCTTTTTCACAGCAGTTGCACTTTAAAAGAGCAAAAGACAAATATTGTCACATTTTGGCCACTATTTGTGAGAGAAATATAAGCACACTCAATCTAGTAGAAATGCATTATGTTCAGTTCAGCTGACAAACCTTTCTTTAAGGTGTGCTGCCTTATTATAATACGTTCCCAACTCCTGCTGCTGCTCTTTATTTTTTTATATATTGAGGTTTTTAGCATTCTCTCAACTCTTCCTGTTGACCAGGGTGTTAATATAAAAATGTAAAGCACAGATACATTAGAGCTATAAGATATAACCTGAAAATGTGTATTTTTTTAATTTCATTTACTAGATAAAAAAGCTAAGACTGATTAGCTGGTTCTGAATATCCTGAAAGACATTTTTTTAACTCTCTTCACAAAGCACAATACAGGCAAGAATGCTTACATTGTGCAGGTGTTCCTTATTATCAGTATTACGTTATAAAAGTACTTGTAGAAATGGTACTTTGGACCTCGCCTGTTGGGCTGTTAGACAAAACTGCAATGCAGCGATTGCAGACTCTTGATGATCAGGGTGTTTATTAGCAAGGCCAGGGGATGTGCTCTTGGAAGATTTCATTTAAGGTTTTAAGTCATGTGATTGTTGTAATAAGATATTACCAAATTTGTACAGTGCTTTGCAATGTTAGTCATGCCCCTTGAGCTTTTACACATTTCTTCATGCTTCAATCTTAAAAGTGGGGGTGTTCTGTCAATATTTAACATGATGGACAAACACACATAGTACTTACTTATTAATATAAAACATTATATTAATTTTGCATTTATTTGTATTTAGGCATCTGGATACTGGCATATTTGGATATTTTTTGGTCTTCTTAAGGAGAGTAATTATGAGCAGAATTTTTTTATCTATTGCCACAAATTCTCATTTATGTTTAGCCCCGTGTTTTCTATGTTTTAAACCTTTCAGTTGCAGCTGTGGCTGTATATGTCAATCTGGAAAATAAGAATTGGCATCAAGGATTTAAAAGAAAATCTGTGTTTAGGTTGACATCTATGTATTGTTAGGGAAATAGTTAACCATAGTCTTTCCATTTCTCTACACCATGTATTTAACAGAGTTCTGTGAGATTTGTATCATTTGCAATATTGTTTAATAACCCATCTCTACACGTCTCCACAACTTTATTCCCCTTGGATTCCTCTGTCTTTTTCATGCTTTTTTTCCTCACTAGTTTTCTCTGACAAACCTCTGAGGCCTTCACAGCACATGTAGAGTTGTAGTGAGATTAAATACCACTTGGATGAACATTGTTTGCTGAGTAGTTTACTTCTAAAGGTAACTGGTTGCATATGATTTAATTTTAGGGTATTGGTGTAATGGGGGCTAAATACAGAAGGAACGTCTCATTTGGGAATTTAATTTGTTGAATCAATGTTTTGTTTTCCTAATCTACATCTTTTTATTCAGTATTTTGTCTGTTATATAGAACTGAAATCGTTGAAGTTTTTTTGTTTGCTTAAAAAAGTTTTAAAAAATTCAAGGGGTATTCATGTTTTTGCAAAGTACTGCACAAAAGAAACCCAACCAACAACAGGGTCGATAACCAGTGAGGTTATTATTAATGACTGAAAATATTAATATTAGTACATATAATATTGAAAATACAAGCGCAAGCTTAATTCCTAACATTAGCGGCAGACATGTCTGTCTTAGCCACAGGATGTCTGGTATTTAGGAGGCGGTTAGCCATAGCACTTTTATTTAAAAAAGCACAACATTGTAAATCAGTTCAGATGAAATGCTAACAAATATATCTGATTAAGGAATTTAATGGTAAGCTCATTTTATTTGACTCAATCTTTGATTGTTGTGGATCAGTAATGTATTAATAGCTGTCAAATATCACCTCCAATAACTATCAAAGTTAGCATTCCTTAGAGAATATCATAAATATAGTCCTGTCATGTACTCCCGAATATGAAAAATCATTTACTTGATGTACTGTTGGAGGTTTTCAAGTGTCTTTTGTGTTTGATAAGAGAAAATATGACTCCAATGTAAGAGAATAATACTACCTTCCTGCATTTGTGTCGTTTTAAACTCCCCTACAGATACTCTGATTAAAACTATGTACGGTAATAACTCTAGTGTTTGTCGTCTAATTTAAATAGGTGCGCTGTTGTTTTAAACTTCACGTTGGATGTTTTATCAGAATATTTCGGGTGAATCCGAGTCAGTAATGAAATGCAAGATGATTGTTTTTCTCAAATTAAATTTTTTTATATATCTAGTGAGTGTTTTATCATAATCGATGGTCATGTCTGTCTTCCTCTCTGCTCCTTGACAGAAACCAACCTACTGACTTGGAGTTGTTTGTATTTTTGCTCTAAATTTCTTCTTTTTTTTCTAAGAAAAAAATATCTTACACCAGACTACTAAAAGTGCTGTATGAATATATTAATATTGTCCTGTTTGTCTTTTGTTACACAACAAACCCATTTTAATGGCCCTTTATTTTATCATCTTAAATATGTATGTTACGTTTTTGTGTTTGTTTGCAGATTAGTCATCTGAATCAGCCGTGTAGCAAAGTGTTTGATTTTTATCTAATTTATGCTTTTATTTATCCAATTACTTGTTTGAACCTAATGTTTGTTTATTTGATTTAATAACAGTTACATTGCACAAAGATATGTCTTCGAAACATTCAAAAAGCAGAAGAGTAAAAATGAATAAAGCAACAATATATGAGAGTATAAAATGATCTCCAAGGAGACCTCAATGTTTCTTGGCCTCCCAGATTGTGTGATTTCCTAATATGTATTTAATTGAACAACATAACATATTAAATAAATAATGATTCAGCCAGCATTTATAAATAATGTACATAAATGTATACCCTTTATATTCTATATTGGTATCTAGTTTGTATAATGTAAATAGATATTAAAGATTTAGTCGGATTAAAAAAGTAAATGTAATCATTTTCAAAGTGCTTTTAAACCTCGTCCTTCGATTGATGTCTATTTTCATGTATCGCTCTATATTTTAATATGTTGCTGGCAGTTATTGTTCTGTAAATGATGTTGCAATAAAGAAAATGGAGTTAATATGATTTCCTTTCTTCATTTCTGCCATCTGAGCGTGTGTTTTTCTTCTAACTTGGGAATGAGTTAATGTCATTTTAAGATTTTTTTTATCCATAGCTCTTAAATAATGAACGACTTTATTTTTTTATTGTTTTTGCAATTTCCTCTTAGCCAGTCTCTGTCTGGGACGTCAGACCCTGATTTACCACAAGATGGCGCTGCAGAGCTTGGTAAAAATGATTTGATTTTTTTTTTTTTTTATTTGCTTTGTGTTTTGTTTATTGGGAGATGCTAATTTGGGCTCAGTGTATTCTGCTTTTCAAGTTGGGCTTGCATGTATTAAAACACTTAATTATTTTGACAGAACAATTTAACTTGCCTGAACTTAACATGTTTTTGCGATTCATTGAGGTAGAACTTAAGAAAATACAACAGTAATTTAATTTTGACAAAATCACAGTAAAAAGTTCCAGCAAACAAATTAAGAGTTAACAGGGTTTAAAAGGTCATTCAAAACCTATTTCCTTTTTTGTGTTTTTTTTTTTTTTTTTTTTTTTTTTTTTTCTAAGACAACCTCATTGAAAGATCTGCTTCCTAACTCTGGGCATGACTAGACTTGATCACAAACCAGAGTGGTATGGTGCTGTCACAAACATTTACGTGCAGCTGTTCATGAAAAAAACTAAACATTTTTACAAAACATTCTTAAATTAATTTCATAAAATGGATAGAAGAAGAAAAGTAAACCTGTAAACTTGACAGAGTGAGCCAGTGTCGACTTAAAACACAAGGTTATGCATTTGCACATGTGTCATCAGTGGTTCAAAAGATACATGTGCATTTAGAGTAATTAAGGACATGTTGAACATACTCTCCTCTGGATATGTGAAGGGCATTTGTCTGAAAAGGTTTAACAAAGACTATAGATTTAATTGCACGCTCAGTTTGCACTCTGCAGTTCAAATGGTTTAGTTTTAAGCATATAAAACAAAAAAAGTATAATAACTCCTTAAAAAGTTGCTATATACACCTGTACACCATATTAAAGTGCATGTATGTATAGTCTGGACGTTTTGGTTTCATAGGTGTTGCTGCTTTCTTAGGAAAATTGACAGAAAGGATGCAATCCAGGAATAAAACTAAGAAGACGGATATTTGCCAAAAAGAAGTTATACCAAGACAATGACTGCAAGAATAATGTTCTTTGGTCAGAGAAGTCAGATTCTAGGAAGTACCAAATATATCATCTTGGTATGTCATGATTGGATATTAATATGGACATGTGTCCTATAACAGCCAAAAAAGTAAAAGCAGAATAAATCTATATATCTGATATTAGCCTGCTGATAGAAACAAACCACTTCTATTTAAAGTTTATGTAACCCACTGGTTAAAAATAAATGCTTCAGTTGCTCTCTTACCTACTTTTGTTGTTTACCATTATCTGAGTAGGTAATGTTGCTTAATCATGCCTTTTAAAAATATTTTACTCTACAAAATAAAAATGATGAAAAGTAAACTTAGTTTGTGTTGATATTGCATACAGTCAATATTGGTATCAGTCAATATTCAAAGCTGCTTGGTATCGTATCGAAAATGAAAAGGTGTATCAGGACATCCCCAATATCAAGGATGTAGGTGAGCTTTTATAAAGCAGGACCTGGTCAGCTAATAGAATCAAACATGAAATCTATGATAGACCAGTTGATGACTGAGCTAAATGTGAAATGATTCGTGAAAGAGCAAAAAGTAGAACTTGAGCATCAAGCATGGTGCAGCTTTCTTTTCATACTAGTAAATCCATAGACTTGCTGAAAATGATAACAATATTTGATGCTTAATCTTGCTGAGGTGCTGTGCATTCCTTATTGGCTGTATTTGCAAGAGCTCCCCCATACATCTCACAGCTGGAAGGGAGTGGTGGAAGAAACCTTCCTCAAAGTCAGAGACAAGTAGATTGCAAATAAAAGCATAACACTAGAATATTTCAGGCACCCTTTTAAGTTTTCGACTAAGATAAAGACTAGACACTATTACGAAGGCTAACATGATTTAATGCAGATAAATCAAAGTCAATCCTTTATTTTTCTGATGACAAACGGCTCCCTTTTAACCTTCCCAGCTTGTCAATGGTACATCTGGGTCAAAATTCATTGGTCAATTCTTATAAATATCTAAGACTCTAAAGTGATGAGAATCTCTCTCTGCACAGTAACAATTTTATTTCAAATTTTATTTTTGGCTTCTTTTTTTTTTTAAGAAATCATGTGTTTCTTTGCAAGCTAGAAAATATTGGATCACATCTCCCTTTTTTTAACCTTTAAACTATGGAGACCTGCTTTTTATGCATCCTCCAAGTCCGTTTTTAAAGAAGCAAAATACTGTTTGTTTATCACTGGTCATTGTGTTTAGTCACTGCTTGCAGCTGTAATGTACATCATTGTTCCTTAAATGCAATTATACATTCTCTGTCCCTGTATGCTAATAGCTTCTCCCATTGTCTGACTTTTATCTATAAATGTATTCTTGAACTTCTACCTTTGTATTTATGTAAGTATAAGTGTAGACTATTGAAATGACTTGCACTTCTTTCTCTGGCTATTATCTTGATTGTCTGAACTGGGGAAAAAATGCCTTTAACGTTTTTTTTTATCATTATTATTATCATTTTTACTGTGTTTAAATTGGTTACAGTCAGAATTCTGAGATTAAATTCAGAATTCTGAGACTAAAGTTAGAATTATGAGACAAAAGTTAGAATTCTGAAAAAAAAAGTCAGAATTCTGAGATCAAAGTCAGAATTCTGAAATTAAAGTCAGAATTCTAAGAATAAAATGTAAAAATTCTGAGAAAAAAGTCAGAATTCTGAGATTAAATTCAGAATTCTGAAATTAAAGTCGGAATTCTGAGAAAAAAAGTCAGAACTCTGAAAAAAGAAAATGTCAGAATTCTGAGATTAAAGTCACAATTCTGACTTTTTTCTCATATTATACTGAAATAAAATTAAAAATTCAGTTAACTTGTTTCGATTTTTCAATGGCCCTAATCCTCTTCCGTATATATTTGTATTTAATTTTAATGTTTATGTATTCTTGTATTCTTATTTTTTTTCTTTTTTTTTTTATCTTTATTATATTGTATAGTTGGATGTGTGTATATATTATATAAAACTGTAACTGGAGCGTGTAACAAAAGTAATTTCCCTCTGGGATCATTAAAGTATTTCTGATTCTGATTCTACGGAGCCCCTAAAGGGACACTGAAGAGACATAAAAAAAAAATTATTTCTCGTGCGCACCAGATCCTTTCTCCTGCCCACCACTTAGTTTCTCGGGCGCACCTTATACTTTCTTGCACGATCGCACGAGTATTTCGGACAACCGTGTTCATCAGAATGGATTTAGATGAACTCATTGAGCTATATTTTCAGTTTGGGCTACCATACAAAGACATCGCTGCATTGCTTGCAAGACGTCACA